CAGACAAGCTCCTTTCGGCCTCCCCGGGAGGAGCTGACACTTGGCCCTTTCGCTGTGCGGTTCGGGGCCGTGGAAGGAGCTCGGGGCTGGGCTCGGCTGCTCTAGCGACGACTCCTTTACCTAATCCTTACTCATGGGAGTGAGGGCTGTCAGCATCGCCATTGTTTATAAACATAAACGTAACATAAACAAGGAGTTGGTGCTGAGACCTGACTCACTCCACGAATATTCATATCCATCCATTGATCCAGGGGCTGCTGGGAAAAACGATAAGCCTCTTTTGCACTCATTAAGGGATGGATTCCTGGAAACGTCGCAGCAGCCCGGCTGATTGGACCACATTCCTAAGCACCCGGGAGGCTGGCTGCACAGAAAGGGGCGTGTCGCCAGGGCAGTCCATCGCCCGCCTCTCACTGTGGTCCCACCCCTCCAAGGTGAACCACTTTTTTTTTTCTTCTGCATTTTTTCTTCCACTTTAACTCTAGGGTGCCAAATCACTAGCTTATACCTCTAACCCTTGATTTACTCAATTGAATTTTTTTAAAAAAATATATTTTATTGATTTTTTTACAGAGAGGAAGGGAGAGGGAGAGGGATAGCGAGTTAGAAACATCGATGAGAGAGAAACATCGATTCAGCTGCCTCTTGCACGCCCCCTACTGGGGATGTGCCCGCAACCCAGGTACATGCCCGTGACCGGAATCGAACCTGGGACCCTTGAGTCCACAGGCCGATGCTCTGTCCGCTGAGCCAAACCAGCTAGGGCCTCAATTGAATTTTTAAAAATATTATGACTTGAGCCCTGGCCGGTGTGGCTCAGTTGGTTGAGCGCTGTCCCATGCACCAGGAGCCCCCCCTGTTGGGTTCCCTGTCAGGGAACATGACCGGGTTTCAGGCTCCATCCACGGTAGGGGGGGGTGAGGGGGGATGCATGCAGGAGGCAGCCTATCGATGTGTCACTCTCACATCAGTGTTTCCCTCTCTCCCTCTCCCTTCCTCTCTCTCTCAAAATCAATAAAAAATTTAAAAACATTATGACTGGACTTTCCACTGCCACCCCCACTTGTGTGAATTTAGCACATTCTGTGTCCTTTCCTCCCCCTCCCAAGTTTTGCAAGTGATTTTTATTTTGTCTGTTACTATTTATTGGTAGCCTTTGTGGTTCTAAATAACATGCCTATTGCCTTAACTTCCTGACGGGCACTTGTAGGCACATTAACTGCTCCTCCCACTCTCTACTCTCCCCTGCCCTCCATCTCCTGTGGTCTGTCTGCTGTGCTATTATATTTACACTAGAGGCCTGGTGCACGAAATTCATGCAAGAGTAGGCCTTCCTTTCCCCGGCTGCCAGCACCGGCCTCCCTCTGGCACCTGGGACCTGGGCTGGCTTCCCCCAGGCTGCTCGCAGGCACCCTGGACCCGGATGGCAGGAAGGATGTCCGGAATGACATCTGGTCTAATTAGTGTACTACACTTTTTTTTTAATATATATTTTTTTATTGATTTTAGAGAGGAAGGGAGAGGGAGATAGAAACATCAATGATGAGAGAGAATCATTGATTGGCTGCCTCCTGCATGCCCCCTACTGGGAATCAAGCCCGCAACCCAGGCATGTGCCCTTGGCCGGAATCGAACCTGGGACCCTTCAGTCCACAGGCTGACACTCTATCCATTGAGCCAAACCAGCCAGGGCTAGCGTATTACACTTTTATTATAGATGCCTTTCTGAGTCATAATAAGTGTTAACTGTTCTTTGCCTACTTTCACACTAGACTAGATGACAGTTTCTAGGCCCAGAATTACCGGTGCAAAATTCCTCAGCCGTTTGGGGCCCGGTTCCATCACTTGTGCCGGCGGAGGGACTTTCTGTCACCCTGTAGCACTGACTGCACCAGGATGGGTTTATGGATGAGTTCCTCCTGTTCCATTCTTTTATACTTTTCTATCCTAAGCTTGTTTTTCTCTTCAGTCCTGGGAATGTTTCTTGTCTGCGCAGTAAAGGATTAACCCTACCCTGCAGCTGGAGCTCTGGCCTTCGCCCTTCTGTCCCGTCCGGAGAGGAAGTCTTTAAGTCCTTGGAATGTCCTGCCTGATAAGAGTGTCTGTTTACTTGGGGCCTGGGCCGTGCCAGAGAGTGGACACTAGCTCATCATTTACCGGGAGGGCTTTGGGCCCCGTGGTATCAGCTCACCCTCTGGAGCCAAGCGGCTGACACTAAGGTGGGCCACACGGTTCGTAAACCTGGTCTCTGCGACCCATCCCCCTTAAAGCCCCTGGAGGACATGGCCTGGGCGAGCTTCCCTGGTTGTCACTCATTGTTGCTGGGAGAAGTTAGTGCTGTCCCCGATCCCTCTGGGACCACGGGAGCTCTCCTGGATTCTGCCCCACGTACCTCTCCACGAGGCTGATTTTAACCTGCATCCTCTCTCTAATAAACTGTAACGGGGGTGTAATGATCAGTGAGTCTTTCCACCAAATTATTGAAATTGGAGGTTGTTTGGGGCTCCCTGAACTTGCGGTTGGTTGTAGGGAGCAGCTATGCAGT